GTCTCAAACGACAGTTTATTAACACCAGTACCAATTGACACAATGATGTGCTCCCAAGAGTTGGGCAATGAACACAACAAGGTGCAAGCTTTGTCTTCCTCATCCATGTTAATGTCTATAGACGAAAGTATTGCACAAATAGTATTAAATTCATTTAAATGAGCAGAGAAAGTGTAAGAACCCGCACCGTTAATTAATGAATTTAATTAATAAATTATGAGAAAATAGGAAATGATTCCATAATTGACCCTAATAATTATTATGAGGCTCTAATAATTATAGTAAGTGAGTAAGAATGTTGAAAGTCACTTTTCGGAAGAAAAGTGCAGATACCGGTTCTGCTAGTCGGTATAAATGCGTACCGAAAAAGTATCTCGGAAAATTGTAATAAATACATGATAATTACTAGAATAATATGTAGGACTTGGAAAACGAGTTTCAAGTCAATATAATGAGAACTGGTGCCGAAAATTGGTACTGGCTATGAAAAGCGCGTACCGGAAAGGTGCTCCGAAAATTATAAGAAAAATATGATAATTCTTGTAAAACTGAGTATGTTAAGAATCCAAAGTTTGGGATTAAAATGCTAAGCGTAGCAATTAAAGCTAATATTGTGTGTTAGTGACTTAACCGCCTATAAACAGTGCTTGACACTAAACCCTAGGCTGATTCTTCAGCCACTCTACGTGTAACTTGGAGGCCAGCTGCTGCCACCACCTTTCCTTAGCCTCCCATGCTTGTTTTGTGCAAAGTCTTCATCTTTTCTTCTTTGTTTCACCATCTAAATACTTGGTTGAGTGTGTGTGAGCTTTGTGAAGAGGGTGAGTGCTGGCATGAAAGGCTAAGGGAAGGTGAAACAAGTGCTTAGATGGTGAAACAAAGAAGAAAATATGAAGACTTTGCACAAAACAAGCATGGGAGGCTAAGGGAAGGTGGTGGCAGCAACTGGCCTCCAAGTTACACATAGAGTGGCTGAAGAATCAGCTTAGGGTTTAGTGCCAAGCACTATTTATAGGCGATTAAGTCACTAACACACAATATTAGCTTTAATTGCTACGCTTAAGATTTTAATCCCAAACTTTGAATTCTTAACCTACTCAATTTTACAAGAATTATCATATTTTTCTTATAATTTTTGGAGCACCTTTCCGGTACACGCTTTTCATAGCCAGTACCAGTTTCCGGCACTATTTCTCATTATATTGACTTAAAACTTGTTTTCCAAGTCCTACATATTATTCTAGTAATTATCATGTACTTATTACAATTTTCTGGGATACTTTTTCGGTACGCATTTATACCGACTAGCAAAACTGGTATATGCACTTTTCTTCCGAAAAGAGACTTTCAGCATTCTTACTCACTTACTATAATTATTAGAGCCTCATAATAATTATTAGGGTCAATTATGGAATCATTTCCTATTTTCTCATAATTTATTAATTAAATTCCTTAATTAACGGTGCGGGTTCTTACAGAAAGAATCACCTTCGCTCATCCGTAAATTGTACAGCCTCCTTCGCAGGAAAAGCTTGTTCACGAGTGACTTGCTCTGATAGAGACCTCCCAGCTTCGTCCAAAGATCCTTCACGGTCTTCTCAGAAGTTACGTTCACCAGAACGTTATCCGCCAGGTATAACCAGATCGGCTTCGCGCCTTTCGATCGTCCCTGGTCCACGCCTTCAACTCCTTCGACTCGCCTTCACCTGACGTTTCACCATCGACAGGTTTCGTTGGTACCGATGACTTATCATCTTCGATCACGTACCACACGTCCTTGTCAACGAGCAGAGCCTCCGTCTTCAGCTTCCATAACTCGAACCCTTTTCCTCCGAACTTTTCAACCTCGATTCGTGATTGGCCAGTCGACATCCTCTCCAGATCAATTTCACAGTTTTCTCTATGCACAGAAAAAACCCAAATCGCGAACCCCAATCTGTCACAGGAACCCTGGTCGCAGAACCAAAGCTTTGATACCAAATGTTGGAAATCGACAACACACAAATCGAAAACGGAAAAGAAAAGAGAGAGAGAGAGAGAGAGAATAAACACAGTGATTTACCCTGGTTCACCTAATTAAGGTTACGTCCAGCTTGTCTGTACTATATTCTCTTCACCGCTAATCGTTACAAGTCACTCGGTTTATAAGGAAAATATAAATAGGATTAGAAAACCCTAGCAGCAGCTATTCATGGGCCCAAGCCCAAACTGCTAAGAAAATTACAATAAAATAGAGGCCCACAATAATACCTAACCTCTACCCAGTTGTATTTCTGCTGACCCTAATAATTAGGGTCCTCATTAGCATGCAAAGTATGAACCATACCCAACAAGTTAGGCAAGGAACAACTTCAGTTGCTGAAGGGGTTTCTTATTCGTCAATGCAAAAAAAATTTAGTTAAACCTGCAATGGATCGATAGGATATCCCATCAACTACTAGATCAACTTCTGTTTCAATTCGAACTATTTAACATAATCAATCATCTAAAATTCACATTTTGCAGCAAGGCTAGCTACTTAATTAATTAATTGATTATTTGTTATTCAGAAATCTTAAAATACCTTCGAGCAACAGATTGATCGTCCACCTAATTCATTAGTTAAAATTCATGTGGTAATCATAATGACTCAGATCATATGCTATTGCTTTCATTATTAATGCCCTGACATTTTGTACTTGTAGTTTAAGCACTAGTCTATAGTGACAGATAAGGTACTCCATATAAAAGGTTCAATTTTAAAAAGAAAAAGGAAACATTAATCGAGTCAATTGCATATATATAGTAGATAGATACGGGTGTCATATGTAGCTTAATTTCACTCTGCTGTGGCTAAAACAAGTCGAAAGATTTAAGAGTCGTAATATTAAGATTAGTATTATTGACCTATTTCCTCAGAGTATAGCAAATTAACGAAACAGGTAGTCAAGAGAGAGACAATAACTTTCGGAAGTTGAATTTATGGGGGACAACGAAGAAAGTAGGGTGGCTGCTGATGCTAGACGGTCAAGTAACGGTATACGTTTGTGCATGTGTGGTATATAATAGTGCGACTGATGCTGATGGTAAATTAACAATATGATAAAGGTTGTAACTTACGTACCTTAAATATAGTAAAAAAATTCAACAATCTGCTTGGAAGAAATGATAGTTCAATGACTCTACGTTATTCCATGCTATGACAAGAATTTGAATGAGAGGAGGCTTATAGAAACTCAAATATTGAATTGGGAGGGGCAATTTCGGTATATCAAACGGTATCAGTCTCATATAAAAAAAATGTACAAGGATACCCCGGCAAAACAAAAAGATGGATATTAAACAAATTTTATTTTGAAAAACTGGACATGCATGTGCTTAGATTAACTAAAATACCACGTTGCTTTAAAAAGGTTTAATGTCTCTTATATTGTAAGAGATAAAATTATTTCCTACACATACATAAAAGAATGTGAGATTCATTTTTTTTCTCTCTTCTCTTCATATGAGCCACACATACTTTTATATATATGTAGGAGATAATTTTATCTCCTACAACATGAGAAACATCAAACCCGTTTCTAAATTATGAAACAAAATAACATAAACTTTTTCCTATATATCACAAGTTGGATTTTAATTACCTTTTTTCATAATGTGGATTCTTATACAATTTTATTAGATGCTTGATATGCTAATATTTTAATTATAAACTTGGGCAGAAATTTGAAGTGCAAAGGGTGTGGTGAGCCAAAAAACTTAAAAAAGTTCTTATCAATGCTTTGCTCATATACATATTGTTAAAAGATAATTTTATAATGGAATAACTTTGGACAATAGCGCATAAAGGCTTTTTATGTGTAGCTAGCATTAATAAAATTTACATATACCAACATAAACAAGGATTATTTTTTATACTACTATATATGCTTTTGACATTAATCTCTAGTGTGACAACTACTGAAGGGAGAAAAAATAAAAGGGTTTATTATTTTTATGCAATAGAAGACTACTTGTCTTATGTTGTTGAGACAAACGATGTGGGACCTTCTTTTATAAAAAAAGAAGAAAAGAATAAAATCTAAAGGGTCCATCATTTTGTTAGTACAGAAGATTGAAGAGAGACTTATCTCATGTAACTCGAGAAAATATTTTTCCAAAAATAAATAACCAAGAAAGAAAGAAAGCAAGAAGCAAAGGCGAGGGAGCAAGAGAGACAAAGTACGTTGTATGTATATATGAAACAAAATATGACAATGTGAAATTGAAAACCATAAAGTATCCCATTTTTTTACACCAGCAACTTTTTTCCAACTTGTTCCATCCATCACATTTTTCTTATTTTCATCTCACAGAGGGTCCTACCCCGTCATTCCTTTTCTAATTTTTCTTGTTGCGGTGGTTGCCCAAGCCAAACATGAAAAAGAAAGGGATAAAAAGTAAGATAAAGAGAAAGCTGGTTATCTCTAGCTAGTCTCTATAGAAAGAGAGAGAGAGAGAGAGAGAGGTTTAATTTTGGCCATGGTCCATGGTTGTTTGAGAGGTGCTTTTCCATGGAGATTTTAAGGTCAGGGGTCGTAGTTGTGGATGTGGGCGTGCGCCCTTACTCTTCTAAAATGCCCTCAACGTCCACCCTTGTGGGACCCTTAAGTGATACCCGCATAGAAACATGGACCCCATAAACATTTTTCCCACTACAGTAAACTCTCTTTCTCCATATTTCTTGGTAGGTGGCATTTCTCGAAGCATAGTAAAACTAACCCCAAATTTCACTATATTACACAAACACATATACCCAATTGGTTATTGGTGTCTGGTGTCACCCTTCAACAATTAAAACAAACAAAACCATTTTTCTCTTTTCTCTTTTTAAAAAAATAAATATATAATTCCTCTATGTGTATCCTTTGGTTTTTTCTGTCCCACAGCACATATATATAGTCTTCCCTTTACATACTCTTTTCAGTACACCACCACCTCATTATCTCTTTCCTTTCCTTCCTTGTAGGGTACCTATTTTGAATGCTTCTTCTTCCTCTCTGCCTCTTTGGGTCCCGAGTGGTGAATCTAGAACCACTAGCTAATTAAGCTTCTCTTCTTTGCTATCACTAATCTCTTTCTTAGTAATTACTTGAATGCCGGAAAACATGAGTATATCTGTGAATGGACAATCTCAAGTCCCTCCTGGTTTCAGGTTTCATCCAACCGAAGAGGAGCTTCTACAATACTACTTGAGGAAAAAGGTCTCTTATGAGAAGATTGACCTCGATGTGATTCGAGACGTTGATCTCAACAAGCTCGAGCCATGGGACATTCAAGGTACCTTAATTTTTATTTTTTTTTCACTTTCTTCTTCTATATATATAAAGTGGGCGAGAGCACGAAGCAGTGATAAATTTGTTCCTTTGTAACTGAAAGGTTAAGATTGCTTATAAAAATTGTTCTCACCCAGTTCCTCGCTAATTGAGGTTTAACGGAGAGTTGTTTTCTTCTTCGATATATATGCATCTCAATTTAAGGAAGCTAATATATATATATATATATATATATATATATATATATATATTTTGTTGGAAGAATATTGTAATATCATGACATGAATCATGTCATAAGTTTTGAGGTTTAATTATTTTGCAGAGAAGTGCAAAATAGGAACCACTCCACAAAATGATTGGTATTTCTTTAGCCACAAAGACAAGAAGTATCCCACAGGAACACGTACCAATCGAGCCACGACTGCAGGGTTCTGGAAAGCCACTGGGCGTGACAAAGTGATATACAGCAACGGGAAGAGAATTGGAATGAGAAAGACTCTGGTTTTCTACAAAGGTCGTGCTCCACATGGCCAAAAATCTGACTGGATCATGCATGAATACAGACTTGACGATAATAACACCAGCGACACCAATATTGTAAGCAACACACACTAGAAAAAAATTACATATGGTTTCCAATTACTACTCTTCTAATCAATTCAACATTTTTAATATCGTGTAAAGCAACCAATTCAACGCAACAGCTGAAGCTCTGGTAAGTGAAGACCCATCAGTAATTTTTATATTTTCTCTAACAATGTACAATTTTATGTGCAACAAAATTTAGGTGTCGAATGTGATGGGAGATGGTGGCCAAGAAGAAGGGTGGGTGGTGTGCAGGATATTCAAGAAGAAGAACCATCTGAAAACCCTAGACAGCCCTTTAGCCTCATCAATCTCTGGGGAAGGTAGAAGAAGCCACTTGTTTGATTCTTGCGATGAGGGTGCTTTGGAGCAAATACTTCAGCAAATGGGAAGGGGTAGTTGCAAGGAAGAGAATTACGAAGCCAATTACAATTATGGAAGGTTTGGGAACAGGCCTTATGAGACAGGACTCAACAATAACAATAATGGGGGCTACCATGATAGGTTCTTGAAACTCCCAAGCCTAGAGAGTCCAAAATCGACAAGCATGGAGAGCCAGCAGAATAATAACACTGATCATAACAATGATGTCAATAACAACAATAATAATAATAATGGGTACCATCCCATTATTCCAGTAGAGATGGCCACAGATAATGAAGGGTCATTCACAACCCACCATGTGAATAGTGCTGCTGACCCCAACATGGTTCATCATCCATATGAGGCATCATCATCATCAATGGTGGTAGGATCAGGTGGTGGTGGTAGTAGTAGTATTGGCCTCACCAATTGGGTAGCCTTGGATCGACTTGTTGCTTCTCAACTGAATGGCCAAACAGAGACTTCTAGGCAATTGGCATGCTTCAATGACCCCACCATGGTGTATTGCACCAACGACCATGATCTGCAATTGCCAACCCTTCGATCATCATCATCATCTTCATCAACATCAACACACACTAGAGCTGTTGCTGCTGCTGCTGCTGCTACTTACATTAGTCCCACACAGGATTACACCACCAGTGAGATTGACCTTTGGAACTTTGCTCGATCCACGACGTCGTTATTGTCATCCTCTGAACCTCTATGCCACGTGTCGAACACGTCAGTGTAGTATAATAAAATAAATCCCAACCTTCCCTTTTCCTCATCCTCCTCCCATGTTCCATTGTTAAAGTATAGAAATAATTAGTCGTTGATCATAATATATCATGTTTAGTTCTTCTCAAGTCAGAGGATTATTATTGCAGATTGTTAAATGCATGTGATAATGTTCCTAGCATTCAGGTTACTTTAATTAGCTTCTATCTCGCAGTTAATTCTTTATTGGTAAGTCTTTCGAATAATTTTTTTTACATATAATATTCGAATAGTTTTCGCTATAATTTATGATATCGTATAATCTTAAAATGTAATAACCCCAATTTTTCCTTAAACTTAATTTTATCTCAATAAGCTAAATGGGGCAGGTTATTCTTGGTGTAAGAAATATTAATATACAAAATTTTGATCATTGATTTGTCTACATCTACATATATAATGAATCAGAATCATTAAATATAAATAGGATTAACGACTAAGAATAAAAAAATAACTTACACTAGTGTAAAATGATCTTGACCCAAAGTAAATATATAGATAGTTCTTCAATGGAATTAATTATAATAAGTTAGACGGATAAGAAAAGGGTGGAAGGAATTGAGGTTTTTAGATGGGATGGCATTGTCAACCATGGGTCTTTGCTTAATCACGATGTCTACCATTATTTTCTTTTAACCTATTTTTTTCAGGGGGTGAGGGGGTTCTTGGTGTCTAGAGGAATTGAAAACTTATGTTCAATTTGCTAATTTGATAATCGATAATTCAAATTTTATTTTTATTTTTATTTATCTTTCTTCTAACTGCAATTATAAGGACCATACTTTTATTTCATGTTGTGAGATCATGATGATGAATAAGGTCATGTTTCTAATTATCATCTGCTCTTCGTCTTTGGGTCACGCGGTTTGTCGGTTTGTTAGACGAAGGTGCAGAGGCCATGGGTTTGCTTGTCCTATTGCACCAACACACACTCTACTCTATTACCAAAAGGTAGTGTCCACAAGGATATGGGCTCCGCTAATACATGCATGAGTACAAAACACAATACTTTCACACCGAGAGAGCTAGAGAGAGAAAGAGGGCGACGGCTAATTGATGCATATAACTTTAGGCAAGTCAAAAGAGAATATCAAGGGGCTCCCTAATTACGTAAGCTTTGCATATTGATTTCGTCACAATTCCTTGGGTAAATGTAAAAAGAAATCATCAAAGGCATTAAGGCAAAATACCATATAGACTATAGTCCACCAGTTTATATTGTTTGTTGTTTTTATTGTTGTTTCCATAAAGTGTACTTCAATTCCATGCAGAAAATGCCCAAAACCAAAAAAAGTACTAGAATGCTTCTTCTTCGACTATAGGGCACACTACGGCCCGTAGGTATCTTTCCCTTTCTTTCTTTTTTTCTATCTTTTTCCTTGTTCGGGAGAAGGCTCAATTTTCAAATTATCAAACGTAAGGTATAGGTAAGGATCTTGTTTGGATTTTAGTTCATCCACATTCTTTTTCTCTTTCTCTCTTTCACACTAATATATTATTGTCCGTACTGCTGGATATTTTCCATGCCAGACTAATTAAGGAAAAGTGTGTGTGTCTGTGTGTGTGTGTTCTTGAGACGAGTCTAATAATTGTAATTAAGATCAGTAGCTACGACTTGCATTATTTAACGTATAAAGATGTCTTTCGAAATCCTTGATTGGCCTTTCGGCTAGCGAGGCACATGAATATCCCTCTATAAGGATTATATATGATAAACACCAAAACTAAAAAGCAACCACGGAATCCGTTTCCAAACTTCTTTCTTTAATTAAGCATTTATATTCATCTTCTGTGGGGACTATTGTGGATGGGAACATTTGTTGGTGAAGGTTAAACCGTTAAAGAGACAAATATAGCTAGGAGTTCATCCTACATCAAGAGCCCATGATACCATTTTCTTATTTATTAAAGACTAGGGATTTTATATTTCGACAAAATAAAATATGATAAAATTGAAGCCTATATACGCAAATGACATGTTTAACATATGATTTTTTTTTTTATATATAAACCACAAGCATCATTCAAGAGGCAATCCTGTTCGGGACGGATCAAAGAATAAGACTTTAAATCTCTCTAAAAAATGATATTGGTGAGGATGTAACACGTGCTCTTACCTCTGCTCAGTTTTCATACACTAACTTAGTTACCGATTTTAGTATATCTATAGCTAGACAACCAATTAATAAAATCACCCAATTTGGCAAGGCTTAATGCTATAACTAGGGGTGCTAAACGAGTCAGGGGCCTTTGGCTCGGCTCGTGAAGGCGTGAGCTTACATGTATAAAATTGATTGTTGGAACCAGGCTTGGACTTGTATAAAAGCTAGTTTAATAAAAAGACCTCAGGCTCCAATTCAAAAGTTCGGCCTTAGAGCCTCTCAGGCTGACCTAATATATTAAATTTTATTTTTATTTTATATTTTTTATACTACTTGTGACAGCTCTCTCTCTCCTCAATCCATTTCATCCCATTTTATTAATTAAACAGACTTTTTGAATGATTTTATTTTATATTATGCTGTTTGGATATACATTAAATTTATGAATATTTATGGAATTACTAGTGTTGTTGATTGTATATTTTGTTTGGATAAATTTTGTTGTCTTATTTTTTTTTTTAACAGGCTAAACCAGGCTTTTATTTTTTGTAAATAAGACAGGCCACAGGCTGAAATTATATTCATAACAGGTAACAGGTTTGGTCAGGCTGACACATTTAAACACAGACTTAGCCTTTTAAGACCAAAGCTCGATTTGGCTCGGCTCAGCCCGTTAACACCCCTAGCTATAACTAGAGTGACAATATGAGTTGTCTCGTCCCGTCCCACCAAAAATGGGGCGGGGTAGGGCAGGTTAGCCCACCCTTGAATATAGGTTGAAAAAATGAACCCTTGTCATTTTACGATGGGTTGACAGGTCAGCGGGTCAACCCGCTAATTAAAACAAATAATTAAAATTTAAAAATAAATTATATTTTATGAATTTTATAGTATTATTTAATTTTATTTCACATTCCTCTTAATTTTTTTCAATCTTAATCTTAAATGTATACTAATATTCAGTTAAACATTATTAAGAAACTCATTTGTCTCCATCTATAGATAACATTTGTCACAAATAAATTTTTTACTCTTTATTTTTTCTAGGGAATACAAAGATAAAAAAAATGGATATCACAAAAGCTTAGGAACAAATAAAATACTACTTAATTGTAAAAAAAAAATAAGAAAAAATTATCACTCGACGATTTCAACCCGTTTTGATCTACTTTTAGGTGGAGTCGATTGAAGTGAGTTAACGGATTGAAAATCTCAACCCAACCCACACCATTTTAATTGGTTAACCTGTCGGGCACAACTCATATGACTTCCTCTAAGTACAACACTTTAGTTAATGAAAAAAGCACTTAATCCAAGGCCGAAGGAAAGCCACAAACATAAAAAAAAAAAAAAAAAAATTATAATAAATAAATAAGTCGTGAGGTTGAAATAATTTAAGTTTCACGCACTACTTTAGTATAAAGGGAAAATAGTTTGAATATACTTTTATACTATAAGATTTTATCTTAATTATAAGTTGAAAGCTCACTTTTAATTTATTGATATTTTTATCATTCTGAAAAAGTAAAAAAATTGTTTTTATTTTAATTATTTTCTTCCCCGTATTTTTTAAAACAAATGTCACGGAAACCAAGTGGGTTCGAAGCTAAAAGTCGGTCAATTTAAGAGTCAACTTTAAGCAGCGGGCTAGCAGGGTGGTAGGGATTGAGATCTTCACCGTATTGTTGGAAATGGCTAATATATGATTCTTTCATTTTTTATTTTTTTTTAATATTTCAATCGATTGATCGATTTGCGATTAGTCAGATTCCAGACGGGTCAAGAATTAAGACTTTTTTTTGTTTTTTGTAAATAAGAATTAAGACTTTAAATTCCCCAAAGATGATATTGAGAATGTATAATTCCTCCATTAGACCAACTCAAGTGAAACCAAAAGTTTTTTCTATAGCTTTTAAGCTTATAATAATATGTATGCTTTATAAAAGAGAAAACAGAGACGAAAGTAACAAGTTACTGTGGTAATTATTATCATTATTATATAATAATATTATTATCATTATTATTATTATTATTATTATTATTATTATTTAGAACTCGCTTAACGACAAAGACGAAGTGGTCTTGAAATTTTCGAAAAAACCTTTAGTAGCGGAATTTAAGGCCATGCCACCAACCACACTACATAGGGCCTTTACGTTCGTTTATTCTTCGAATTATTTGATAACGACCCAATCATCATCTCAGCTATCCCTAATCTTTGTTCCCCCCACCCTCTATAAGTTCTTAATTCCTTATGATTGTTTTTTCTCCAATTTTCAATAAAGTTTTTTTTCTTTTTTTATAAAATTCAAATATAAAATGAGAGAATTAAGTTTAGTCTATCATTCATTCTAAATCTTAATTGACTAATATACAACTTTTTTTTTAGTGAAGTTCATATATTCCTCTTCTAGAGTTCCAAAATATCATAAAAATTTGAACATCCCCTTAAAAATAATGGAGAAAATTACCAATATCACTTTTTTTGATAAAATTTACAAAGACTAATTAATTCCTTCTTATCTAAGCATTTCAATATGACATGCATACTTCCTCTGAATATATCTTTTTAATTAAAGAGTACTGTTTTGACAGAGATTGTAACTAGCTAGGTTTAAATCTTCATAACAACTTCTATATATAGAATGCTAAAATTTCTTGGGACATGTATAATTTCACTCCCACATTTTAAAGACTAAATAATACTTTTTGTATATGTAAGATTTTAGATACATACTTAGCTTTCTCTGAATCATCTACAAAGAAACTACTTATTGGGAAATATTTCATGTATCCCATCAAAGTGACATAATTAATTGTAAGTCACTTATAATAACTTTGAGACAAAAAAAAGAAAAAAAAATTACAATGATTTTGTTTTCAAAAAAATTACAAATATTTAACTTTAAAAAGTTAGAAATATTCTAAATTTGAAATAATTTTAAACTTAGATT